CTCAAGTCTTGTTGTTGTAAGAAAGTGAGGCTTGTGTGATTCAAGTTCTCAAGTTGTACCGGTTTTTCAAGCACCCGTTGAAGCTTGAAGATTAGTAGGACTTTCGAGAGAGTCTCTCGGAGGACTGGACTAGCCACGAGGTGGTGAACCAGTATAAATCCCGGTGTTCTTCTTTCCCTTACTCTCCTTACTTTTTCCTGCGATAATTTTTACGAAAAACGTACATTCTTGAAAACAACTCTATTCACCCCCCCCTCTAGAGTTGCACTTTCGTCTAACACAATTTTAATTGTTTTTCACTTAAATCATTAACTTCGATTGTGTCTCCTTTCGTCCCTCTGACCATCTTCGATCATTCCTCTTTGCCACAATCGATCGTCCCCTCTTCGCCACAATCAATTGTCCCAATTTCGCCGCCATAGATCGTCCCTGTTCACTAGTGGGTTGCTCAATCAAGGTATTTTTTTTACTTTCCTTACATTTTTATAAATTAGGGTTTATTTTTTAATAAGGTTTTTTACTTTTTCTTAATAGTTGAGAAAAATAAAAATTGTGTATTGATGTTTGTGAATTTTACTGGAAGGATAATTGTCTCCATTTAATATTTGTGAATTTTTTATTATTATGTGAAATTTTTTATTTGTAGTATGTGATTTTTTTGTCTGTTGTCTTCACTTTCTCCAATTGCTCGTTTTTTTTAATATGTGAATTTTTTTATCTGTAGTTTCATCCCTGTTTATGATGAGTTGTATTTCATTCCTCGACTTATTGGGAGATGACAAAGTAAAAGCAAATATAAATGTCATCACCTCAAGTACGTATATATGTGTATAACCTCATGTTTGTTTGATTTGGACACACAACCACTCACTCTCTGTATGAGAAATCAAAGTCTTTGGGTTCTGGGGGGAGTATGGTCGCAAGGCTGAAACTACCGCGAGGGTTCGACAATGATCCTTCCGCAGGTTCACCTACGGAAACCTTGTTACGACTTCTCCTTCCTCTAAATACTGTGGAGAGGTTTATTACCTGTGTGTCTATGCAGGTACTAGAACGAAGTACTTTTAACTTTTATTGCCTTGCACTTTTTTGCATCTACTTTACTAGGTGATGGTGATCTTTTAATTGGTAGATCATCGCCCATTGACGGGATTAGGGATAATATACAACTCAATATGCATGATGAGGTTATGATGAGCCGGACTTCGTTCCTCGACTTATTGAGGGATGATGAAGTAGAAGAAAATCCAAATGACGAGTGTCGTCAAAATATTAATGATGTCATCACCTCTGGTATATTTATTTATGTATAAAAATATTGTGTATAAATTTGTGTTTACTTGGTCTCGACACACAACCACTAACTTTCTCTAAACATAAGAGTATAGAGAAGGTCAAGAAAAGATACAGATGGAATAGTACATTGTGTTACCATAGTATGTGGCAGAGAAGGTCATAAGGCAAGTCGCAGTCAAAACACTTTGAAGCCACAACCACTTATGCAATGTGGTTGTGAAGCACGCTTAACTGCAACGTGTAGCCCCAGTGGAGAAGTAACAATTTTAGTGGTTAAGTTGGATCATAACCACGCTCTTAGTCCTTCCAAAGCTCGACTTTGGTGGTGCAATCGAAAATTACCTAAGAACATTAAAAGAAGACTTGAAGTAAATGATGCAGCATGCATTCCCCTTCACAAAAGCTTTAATTCTGCAGTAGTTGAAGCCGGAGGCTATTATCAACTCCCTTTTATTGAAAAGGACTGTAGAAATTATGTGGAGCAAGTTCGTCGGTCTAAGATCAGTGTGGGGGATGCGATGGAAATTCAAAGATTTTTTAACAAAATGCAAGAAAAAAGTGATGGGTTCTTCTACAACATTGATCTTGATGAGGAGTTAAGATTACGAAATTTATTTTGGGCTGATAAACGAACTCGTGCTCCATATAAGTACTTCGGCGATGTTGTCACTTTTGATACAACTTACTTGACAAACAAGTACGACTTGCCCTTTGCTCCATTTGTTGGTGTCAACCACCATGGGCAGTCTGTTCTCCTCGGGTGTGGTTTAGTAGGTTACAAAGACTCAACGTCTTTTGTATGGCTTTTTGCCCCGTGGAATAATTACTGACCGGTGCCAAGCTATGCAAAAGGCCATTGCTAATGTATTTCCAAGCACCAAACACTGTTGGTGTTTGTGGCATATTATGAAGAAAGCACCTGAGAAGTTTTCAGGATCCCTAGCTAAAGATATGATACTTTTTAAGTTGAATGCTCTTGTTTACGATACCTATGAGATTGCTGAGTTTGAGTTGGGTTGGCAAGACATGATTAAGTGTTGTGGACTGCAAAACAATGAGTGACTAAAAGCTTTGTATATGGAGAGACATCGATGGATTCCTTGTTTTTTGAAAACCTCTTTCTGGGCAGGTATTTCTAATGTAATTACATAATGGAAATTTTTCATAAATATTTTATCTACTATAAATTGTGTATGCTTTATTAGTATAATGTCTTGTCACAAGTATGTCAACAACACAAAGGAGTGAAAGCATGAACTCCTTTTTTGATGGATATGTTCATTCAAAGACATCTTTGTCGCAATGTGTGGAACAGTATGAGCAAGCTTTGCGAAAAAGGGTGGGAGTTGAGTTCCACGTAGATGCCCATTCATTTGGAATAAGTATTCCACTAGTGACAACCTTTCTTATGGAGAAACAAGTTCAAGAGGTGTATACGATGTCTAAGTTCAAAGAATTCCATGCCGAATTAACTGGTAAAATGTATTGTGACATCGTTAGGGAGGAAGAAGGATGCACATATATAGTGGATGGGGAGTTTTCTAAAAATGGAATTGATATACGAAAGAGATTTAGGGTATCATTTGATAAGAAGACCGACATAGCAACATGCAATTGTCACTTATTTGAGTTCAGAGGAATTGTATGTCGCCATTGTGTTTCTGTTCTCATTCGTAACGGGATAAAATTTTTACCAGATGCGTACATCTTGGACAGATGGTGCCGCGATGTCCAAAGGACTTACACAAGAGTGTAGATGGAATACGATGGCTTAATTTGCACTGACGCACAAAGGCGATTTGATATGTTGTGTAACAAGTTTCAAGAATTAGCAAACAGACTTGCAGATGATGAAGACTGTACAAAGAAGTGGATTGACTTGATCGAAGGGGAATTACAACAAAAGATTTGTCCACCTTCTAAAAAAGTACGAAGATATACTTTGAATACCGACGAGGTAGAACAAGTGATAAACATCTTTGACCCACAATCCTCAAAACGGAAAGGCGCTCCGCGAAAGAATCGATTGAAGTCCACATCCGAGAAAAAGAGTCGAAAGCGAAAAGCGAATAACAAAGCCTCTGGGGAGCTAGGAATGAGTGTACGTGTCCAGGAGGAGGATTTGCGCCATGCACAACAACAATATCCATGGCCTGCGCAAGGCGGAGATGGTATTTTTGACCTCACTGTGAGTAACTTGGATCTCAATTTAAGTATTATGTAATGCAAATTATGTATCCTTTTGATTTTTGGAAATGTAAGACATTTATTTTTGGGAACGTTTGATGTTTATTTTTGGAATTATTCATTTTGGAACGTAAGATTTTCTTAATTCGTAAAATTAAAAAAACTAGTCAATATCCAAACATGAACAATAAAGAGTGTTTTGTTTTCTACTTTGCCACAGACTTGTTGCAAATTGACACCAAAATTCCTGCATGTGTTCATAACTACATTCCGGTATGAATGACAAGTACTCCACAAAGACACGAACCATAAGAGCACATGCATACTTATATCATTTTCAAAATATAAACCAGGGGCGGATCTAGTTGAATGGAGTGGGGGCAAATGCCCCCAACTAGTTTTTTTGTTATAAGGTAAAAAATAAAAAAATTAAAATTTTAATGTATATATGCCCCCAACAAAAACTAATGTGACCCCATCTAATTAGGCTAAATTTAATTTTTTTGTTAATTTTTTTTAGTAAAGTTTATTTTATTGCATATAATTAATTTTTATAAAATAAAATTTCACATAACCCATTAAAAAATTTTACATTCAATAAATGTTTGAAAATAAAATTCATTAATTTTTGTCATTTCAAATAGTCTGCCAAAAAATTTGGGGTGCCACTCGTAAATAATAATGCCCCCATCTAACTGAATTTCTGAATCCATCACTGTATTAAACTACAAATAAAGAAATTCACAAACTAAGAAACAAATTTCACAAACATTAAATCAAATAAAAAAAATAACCTTGATTGGCCAACTTACAGAGAAGATAAACACAATCACAGTTAATGATTGAAGTAAAGAACAATTAAAGTTAAAGAATGAAATTTGAAAATGAAACAAAAAAAATTAAAAAGAGAAGAAGAGAGAGGGACGAAGAAGATGGAGCCATGGAGGGAGAAAGAACATGGGCTCAAGAGATATTAAAGAGAAGAGAGAAGGAAGTCAATTATTTTAAAAAAATAGAAATAAAAAAATATGTATATATGGGGTTAAAGTGGGGTTAAAGGATAAAGCTACTTGTACCCCAACCTTTTGTACCCTAATTTGTACCCCGCAGTTTTCTGCCAACATTTTGTGTTGGTGTAAAACTAATTTTTGTTAACGCACCAACACTTTGAGTCCGTGTAAATTTTTGTTAACGCACCAACATTTGTGTCGGTGTAAACCGTCAAAATATTTGTGTAGAACTACAGTGTACAAATGGCGTACAAAATTTGGTGTAAATGTAGCATGGTCCCGCGTAAAATGGTGGTGTGCCTGTAGCATACCTCATTAATGAAAACATAAACCCACAGTAACATTTGATAGCCGTCAGTTTGCAGTGGACCCCGGCGTGGAATTCTAGAGAGTGCAAACTACTAGCAGTTTTTCCATTGTCCCTAACAATGTTGCGGGCGGTACAGGAGGGGAGAGGGAGAATCCAAAACACCCAGAGAAGCGTTACGGAAAAATAAAATCCCCAAAAAAAATCTGCTCCTCTCCCTTACTCCATGGCCCCTGGTTTTGGCTTTCCTCTCCCTCTCACCCTCTTTGGTATATATACTCAACCGTATTTCTGTACCTTCTCACCGCCCTCTTTCTCATCCTTATCTCAGATCTCTGCGCCACTTCCAAATATTAGGCGACAACCTCGAGAATTACCACTTCAGACGCGCGAATCCCTATGACGGCGTTGGCGTCGCCGGGAGGGATGTTGGATCCGGCAGGGGATGCCGAAGCCTCTTCCGTGAGGCACGTCAGCATTGGTGTCGGCAAAGGCGGTATACGGAAGAAGAGATGCAGGAACACCAAAGCTGCAAAGAGGCCTTGTGATGTGAAGAGGATGATGGTTCCTGAAAGTTTGCAGCTGCAGCGGATGTTTCTGATGTGCCGCGAAGTGTTCAAAGGCCCCGGCACCGTCCCTTCAGATATTGATGTGAAGAGGCTCTGCCGGATTCTAGGTCAGTGGTCCTATGATCTGAAATTGTTTCTGTATTTTGACCTAAATATTATGTTCGAGTTTCATTTCCTTTATTCCATTGATGATTTTTTTAGGGATAACCTTATCCCTTTGTGAGATTTAGGTCATAACGTTCAGAAAAAATAATACTACTCCATAAGCATTAATGTTATCCTCATTCAATCAGGAAACATTAGACAAATTATTAAAAGGTCTCTCGGAAACAAACTACCTATCTTAATTGGCATACAAATAAGGTTAGGTATCCCTAGGTTCTTAATGTTGTACGATTATATAGTAGTTCTGCAATACAGCTCTTGATACAAGAATATGGTATAACCCTTTTTATAAGACACTTGTATTCTCACTAATAAACATTGAATTATTTACTAAATGAAAGTTATGTGTTCAATAACAATAAATGCACACTAAGAGTTTGTTCCGTTCAACTTATTTTTTTCAGCTTACTATTTATTCTTATTAAAACCAGATCATATTTGACCAGATCACATCTAATCAGATCAAATTGAAAACAACTTTAAATATAATTACAATCTGATCTAATCTAATTTGACCATTCCAATCAAATCTTTAAAAAATTAGATTAGATCACGCGAGCCGAACGCAACCTAAGTCATAGTTATGAAAGGTGAGAAGCAGGCGAGAGGCAAGAAGCATGCAAGAGCCGAGAGGGTGTTTTCCAAGGTGGGAAGCGTGAGGTCAAAAGGCGAACGAGGCGGTAGATATATTTTGGTTCAAATAAAAGTGCATTGCCCAAGTGTGATTATCTATGACTGTTTGAAATGAAATTATGAAATAGTCATTCATGTACAACAAGCTTTATAGAATGTTTATAGAATGTTTATATTCAAAACATTCAAAGTAAACTCCAACTTAATACACCAAGTGAGTTCATTAATAATGACCAGTCGATTAGTTCAGAACAATTAATGAGTTCATTTTGCAATATTCTTTAACAATTTTTGAAAGTTGACTTCGAGTCTTCGATGCACCATAGTTATTGCCTTATACCTTAAAGAAGTCGGTGGGCATTGCGCAGTTGACAATGGCATGGAGTGCCAAAGGGGTAGACCCGAGTCTGATTCCTGACTACGCTACGCTGATAGGCAATTATACTAAGCATAAGGCCTCTGCAAGTATTAGGTGTAAGCTGCCCTACATGCAACCAATCTGCAATCAAAGTTCAATTTACTTCTTTTTAGAGACCCCTTGGCTAGGTCCAGGGGGCCTGAGCCCTCGGGGTTGGAGCTCATCCTTTTTTTATATCCCAAAGAAGCAAGTAGAGGGGTAAGATAAGCTATTTATAAGGAAATGCAGGAAGATGATTTCCGTGATTGCATTTAATCAATAGTGGTGTTGTGCTACTTAGTGCTTATCTCCCTTTTCTAGGTAATGTATACATTTTGGCCGTTCATATTTCTTCCTTTCTTATGAATTATGAGTAATCTACTAATTATTAAATATTAATGGTTTCTCATGCAGTCATTCCAAAAGAACTATATTAATTAGCGTTATCATGATAAATATCATCATACTGCAATGAATATAGATCTTTGCAGTTTTCCTTGAATAGACGAGAGAAAAAACTATAACAAACTCTTAGGTGCTACGGAGCATTTTCCTTGCATGGAATGGAGAAAAAAATTACTATTTAAAACTAATTCTTCTGGTTTTGTACATAATCAAGCATGGGGAACATGCATGTATTTGCATTGCAAAACCTAAGAAGTGATGGAGGCATATAACTTGCAATAATTGCACAACTAAATATTCCTGAAATTGGATAGCAGTTTCTCATCTTACCGAGTTTTTCTTATCCTTTGTAGATGAAATGATGCCAGAAGATGTCGGACTCAGTAGCAATCTTCAATTCTTTAATCCCAAAGGTGCGATGGAAGGTAATCCAAGAGTTACAAACACAACAATCTACAAGGGAAACAACTTTTCGGTAAGAGAATAACCAAACGTTCCAATGCTCTTATAGGCATGATATTCTCATTATTCTTTCTCTGCCACAATGCGTGTAAATCATGCTCTACATAATGTTAGTTGGTTCAAGTTTTTTTATTATATATATTTTTCTAGTAATTAAGGGTGCCAAGGAAGCAACATAAATCATCATCCACCCTTTCTTATGCAGTTGTGCATTTTCTTTCTTCCCTCAACTTCCGTCATACCTTTGCACAATCATCCGGGAATGACCGTTTTCAGCAAGCTTCTACTGGGCCGTATGCACATTAAAGCATATGACTGGGCTGATGTGCCTTCTGCAGCTTTAGGTGACTAACTATTCTATCTGTTTCACTTTGCTAGAGAATATTTTGCAATATGTCCATGGTGCACCCACTGAAACACAAAAATTTCTTTGAACATTTTACAAACTCTGAAAAGAATTAAACAGTAATTCTTACAAAAATCTATCCATTGCTGCTTAAATTCTAGGGGATTCAAATAAAGATGGACACACAATGAGACTGGCACGATTGAAAGCAAATAAAACGTTCACACCCCAATGCAACACCTCTGTCTTGTATCCTACATCTGGAGGAAACATTCATGAATTTCGAGCAATCACCCCATGTGCGGTTCTTGATGTGCTTGGCCCGCCATATTCCAAAGACGATGGGCGTGATTGTTCATATTACAAGGACATTCCGTATGATGCTTTACCAAGTAAGTTTTCCCCATGCTAAACTCTGCGTCGTTGCTACATGATTTATTTTATTCCTAAAACGATGGTTGCGCATGGAAATTGTTGTATCAGTGCTTGAAAATAGAACATTCTTAAATGTGCTTGTTGAATGTACTATTAAGTGCATTAGCATGCTACACACCATATTTTTCTTGCAAACATAAACCTTGGATGATAATCTCTACCTCCCTTTCTACTTCACACCCTTAGCTGCAAATGTCTAATATTCAATTATTTGCTAATTTGATCTTTCAGGGGCAGATGGAAAAGTTGCAAAGGCAGAAGAAAGTGACTTGTACGGATGGTTGGAGGAGGTTGAAATACCAGAGGAGTCAAAAATGGATGTCATCCAGTACTTGGGCCCACAGGTTATATAGAGTGGAAAATAGAAATTCTCCCAAGTAGTTTTTTCGTCTTTGTGAAGTAGGTTCTCTTTTTTTTGTTACATCGCTGATAATGCTTTTATATATTTTCTTCTTTCGAGATACAATTATGTAGTGTATCAAGTAGAGTTTTAAATTTTCATTATTGTTGTATAGAAATATTTTGAAATGTATAAAAAAAAGTTGAGATGTAAATATATATAAAAGGTTTAGATAGAGGAATGTCAAGTCCTTTTTTAAGGCATAGTCAGTAAAAGGCCCAAACCAGTTTAATTACCTTTTATTTACTGCTTTTCAGTTTCTATTTTCCAATCTTTTTTTTTGTTTTTAGTTTTCAACTAGACTCGTACCCATGCGTTGCATGGTCTAATTATAAACTATATAATTACGAAAAGTATTGATGAAAAAAATGATAAAAATTAATACTTGTCACCACTTGTTTTGTAGAGCTTTTGATGTAGTTTATAAATATATAAATTTTATTTTTTAATTTTATACCTACAATCAAATAAATTGAATTTAAAATAAAGTCCGTCAAACTTCGTAAATAGAACTGGAAAGAACATTATAGGACAGAGGGAGTATATAATAATAATATATAATCAAATATTAAAAAATTATGAATACAATACATGTTTATCATGAAAGATCACTTCCATTAAATCTCCTTTTCTTGTCCAAGCCGAAACAAAGTAGACACGAACGGATCGTAACAGAAGCATCTAAGTGCTTTGACTATTGTCAATCTCGGCAAGTACATTCTATATATCCTTTGAATGTTTTGAGACATTTTTGAAAGTGGGCCGAGTTGAGATGAGATGTATGAAATATTTGAAGTATAAGCATATTAATTAGACAATCAATCTACCCTTAAATGTCTTGATTTAGTGGATCTATTTATTTAATATGATTTGACATGAAGTATGCATGGGGCCACGCACCAATTTTACTACGTACGCGGTTCTATAGCAATACACTACCCATTTATTTATCTTGATATGACATAAAGTTTGCATCGAGCCACACACTTACATTACTGGGCATGCGGTTCCATATCAATACACTACCCATTTATTTATTTTTTGATTAAACATAAAATTTGCATGGAGTCACGCACAAACTTTACTACATACGCGGTTCTATAGGAAAATAATACTCATTTATTTATTTTGATTTGAAATAAAGTTACATCGAGCAACGTACTACGCTCGCGGTTTCATATCAATGCACTACCCATTTATTTAATATGGTTTGACATAAAGTATGCATGGAGCCACGCAAAAATTTTACTGCGCACACAGTTTCATAACAATAAACTATCTATTTATTTATTTTGATTTGACATAGAGTTTGCATGGAATCGCGCACCACTTTACTACGCACGCGGTTCCATAGCAATACAATACCCATTTATTTTGATTTGACATAAAATTTGCATCGAGCCACGCACCAACATTACTACACACATAGTTCCATATCAATACATGACCCATTTATTTATTTTAATTTGACATAAAATTTGCATCGAGTGACGCACCAACTTTACTATGCGCGCGGTTCCAATGCACCATACCTACCCATTTATTTATTTGGATTTAAAATAAAGTTTGCATCGAGTCACACACCAACATTACTACGCACACGGTACCATATCAATACACTATCAATTTATTTATTTTAATTTGACATAAAGTTTGCATCGAGTGACACACCAACTTTACTACGCATGCGGTTTCATAGTAATACACTACCCATTTATTTATTTTAATTTGACATGAATTTTGCATTGAGCTACGCATCATATTTACTACGCACGCGTTTCTTTGTAATACACTACCCATTTATTTATCTTGATTTGATATAAAGTTTGGTAATTGTCATGGATCAAAAAGTTCTTTATTCAAAAAACGACTCCCTCTACAACATGTTTTTTAAAGCGTTGATTGCAAGGTTCCTTTAGTTGGCAATGAATTCTTGTACCCTGTTTAATAGCAAGAATATACATAATAATTTTTTAATATGAATGCCTCAATGTTAACACATAATTTGCACCGTAATATTTTTCTATGTACGATGAAATGGGAATAAAACCACTCTAATATTTAATTTCTAAGAATGAAGAAAATGAAAAAAGACACATCATCGTCGTGGAAAATAACTTTAAAAAAAGTAGTAGAGTTGAACGAAATATGTAGGATTTAGAAAGAAAAAAATGGTAAAGGGATTAGAAAAAACTGATAAAAAATTAGAAAATACTGCTAATTAATATTTCCAAGTAAAAAAACAAGAGTATACAACAATGCTGGATGTATTGGTAAAGCAGATCAACGCGCATGTCTGGACGTATTTTAGATGTTTTCTTTTTTGAGGGGTAGTTTGGACATTTTTTAGTTGGTAGTTTTCAAAAATCAAAACTAAGTAGGGAGTATCTAATAACCTAAATACTCTGCGTCGGTTCACCTATTCATCACAGAAGTCAGACGACCATCGCACAACGCCTAACATCGCAGCCCAACTTCCAAACGCCACCAATGCTCCGCCAACCGCCCCACGCCTCCGCCGCCAGTCCTGCCAATGCCTCAAGGTAAATACTGAGTAAATCCTCCATAGGTGCTAGAATTGAATTTGTGACAAAGTATGCAAAGTTTGTTGATTTTCTCTATATGTGTATATGTGCATGTGAGTACGTTTTTGTGTTTGAATGATATTTCAGAGTGTAAATTATTCTTGTTCTTGGGTACAATAGCTTGGCCTAGATTCGTGTGATATTGATATTGCCATCGCAAATATGCGGGGCAGCGAATTCTCTCTTTTGTTATATGAGAGGGATGGTGACATGGATCGACAATCTTGTATTATCAAGAGGTCTGTTTTGCCACAAATCTCCCAGTATGGCAATTCATTATGAGGAAAATACCCAAATAGCACTAAAAGAAGTTGTGTTTCCCCAAATAGCACCAGTGCTATTCCCCATGACGTTTTGGGCTAGAATAGACAATAATGCCCATTAATTGCATTTGTTTAATTAAAAAACAAAAAGGAAGGAAACAGCTTTATGGCGCTAGGTTTATGGAGAATCCAAACGGCAAAGGAAAGTAACCAATTCCAGTTTGCATGGAGATTTGATTTCCTTAAGGAATTTGAATTTTAGAGTGATACGAAGGTCATTAGGTTTGGGGAAATTGGTTTCCGCCATACAAACGCAGAGAATTGAAAAGAGGTTCGCGGCCATGGCAAGGAGTTCAATGAAAGGCAGAGTATGCGAGGAAGGCGAAAATGACTTCGTGTGTAACACCCTAATCTGTCCAGGTCTGCAGCCCCATTCGGACTAAAGTATTTAACTTGGTAATCGTAAAAATTTAAAACTTTTCAAACACACTTTATTAATCCCAATAATATTTTTCAATACATATACAATACGGAGTATTCAACAATATTGCGGAAGCGATTTTAATATTGACATATCATAAATTGTTTCAAAACTTGTCACATCCATCCCGACAATCTCGCCCCATCTGCCGCCAGGATCACATTCTGCTTTCTGCTTACCTGCGTGTAGCAAATAAAACACACTACACGCTCAGCGGTAAAGCTGAGTAAGCATATCTAATGCGTCGAACATCCATATAAACTGAATCTAAATTCATAATCAAATCATTTGATATCATTCACACAATGTTCATTTCAGACATTCACGGTT